TATGCAACAAATTTACCGGTACATCACTTTGCATACCTTACTTCAATCGGTATTGCTATTTTGACAGGAAGATCTTAGAATACTCAAAAGATTTACATCACTTTGTATTCTTCAATAGCAGATAAAACAGTATTTGTCCAAGTAGGAATGCCCATCAATCATTAAAGCTCGCAAGCAGACATTGCGTCTATAGAAGAGAAAGTGTTTGAAAGGATGATGTCAAGGATACAGACCGGAAAAATATACACAGAGTTCAAAATGTCATTGCAATTGGAAGGATTATAAACAATTATGTCCATTTTCAATAGGAAATTTAAACAAAAGAAATGGACATGCGACACACACCCACAGTGTCTGCATATTGCCACTAAACATCCCTTACGGAAAAAACTACTTTCTGTAAAACCATTTTCACTGACATATAAGTTTTGAGCAATTTCGTTGGGTTTTTAAGTTCACGAACTTGGAAAAGAAACAATGAATTCTATTAGTAATTCTACAAGTTTGCATGGATTCAATTATCAAGGAAAACAGCAAACAAATAATTCATTCACAGAACCAATCCTAATTGCAATAGAAAACTAAAAATGATTAATATAAAGATTCTGCTTTCCCGGGAAGTAATAGCTAAGCCTTTACTGGGAGAAGCTGTCAATCCTGGGAATTACACCAGGAATTATGCAGCATCATTGTTTATGTTTTCCATTTTAATTTTAAACCAGTAAGTAAATTTAATCTAAGGTTAGGTTGTCTCTTTAAGCAGTATATAATGTGTCATAATCAATTGTGTGTTCCCTCCGAATTTGCTTGAAAAAAAAATTGTAATTAAAGGGCGACAGTCGCCGTGCCGCATCCTGTTTGATATGGGTCTCATAGCGACGTATACAACGCGTGTAAAATAACATTGTTTATTTACATGAAATTTGAACAGCGCAACCACCCGCTTTAAGTATTAATTTGATATTTGGAATTTGTTCAATTTGTCATGCAGTTTCATTTCTAACCTACACAGACCAAACAATGGTATCATCGAAATTCCATATGAACTTTATTTTCATTTGCTCCACCTTTCCCAGACCTCTAACTGAAGAATGAAGAGAAGAGTTACAGATGACCTGGTTGTACCCGGAAGTTGTACGAGTGGTAGCCGGCGCAGTCGAAGACAACGCAGCAATGAAGACGAAGACGCGAGCACTGCCGGGATGCTGTCCCCGTCCAGTTCCAGTTCCAACCCACCATCACCATCATTGTCATCTGTATCATCTTCCCCGTCACTGTCGTCAGTCTCTGCTTTCTACCCGACATCATTTGCCTCCCCACTTTCAGCGTTGCCACAGCGGTTTGGAAGCTCTCTGTTTGGTACCGCACTTTCACCCACTTGTCCGAACGGAGCAAATTTTTTGCCTCCGAACGTTAATCCCCATGGAGCTAAGAGAGCAGGACCATACCTGCTAGGACCAAGGCTGGGGAATTCTCCTGTAAGGAGTATTGTACAGTGTCTGGCACGAAAGGAGGGCACTGATGACTTTTTTCAGCTAAAGGTAACTTTTATTATGATATGATTACATAAACTATAGTTGTGACATGCCTTGGCATGTCTCCGGTGCCGTGCAATGTCATTTCTACTGCAGACGTCTCAATGGTCCATGTAAAACTTAACCATACAGGATCACCATCGCTCATAAATTACATCATGCATGATTTGTCCCTAAATTCTTATATAGCTTATTTCTATGATTGAGAGAAAGTTCCAGTTCTAGAAAATTCTTGTTACAACAAGGAAACTGTCATTACTTGCACTGACATACTAGGACACAGCATACACGATGGACAGATAAACATCCCTTCATACTGGATCCAATCCTTCCAACTAAG